TCAGCCTCTCTCCGGGTCAGGTCTGGTAACTCCTTGCTGCTTCTGAAACATCTCTCCCTCCCCCTGCCAGTCAGTCCAGTTCCTCAACTCTGCCTTTGATATTCAGGGCTCCCAGATTGCCATATATAATCGAATCACTTGTTTTTTCGGGTCTTTGTTGTAAGGGGGTCCACCGGAAGCATCTGACTACTCCGCCATCTTGGCTTCACCTCCCGTAATGTTTCTATTAAGCAGTCAGTTGGTTTAAAAAGAACACAACACTACAGTTGACACAATAGCAGGCCCTACAGTGTGGTGGAAATGCCCTCTTCGGATGTTCGCTCAAGTTTTCCATTACACAAGTACTTTTTTTAAAAAAAGCTTTCAAAATTATCATATAATGTGAAATTATATCAAGCTGCAATTTGATAAAACAAATTGTCTGCATACAAATTTCCCATTGCTTTCTTTTTTTTTTAAATAGCTTAGGCATCTTGAGATAATCTATGGAAGTAGGTTTCTGCTGATTTAAAATGCCACAGTTGATTGAAACTCCATGTCTTCTCAAATTTTTACCAATATTATTTGCTGGTTAGAGTTTGCCGTCTCTTCTTTCCACTTCCCATCTCTGTCAGTCTGAGCCGCAGAAAGGAAACATGGGGGAAACAACAGGTCATGGACTTCCAATAGCTCAAGAGATATCCTGATTGTGAAAGCAAAACTAAGTTTACAATGTTAACACGTGGTCATTGGACTAGCAGGTGGGGACTGTCCTGCTCCAGAGTTGGAGTGAGGGGTCACTCTATTTGACAGAATAATCCATCCCTGTAGATGTCTCTGCCTCTTACAGAGGGCAAAGGCTCCTCAGGGTTGCTGTTCCCTTCCCTTTTGGGCTTTATTGCGTCTCTACGATGTGGTCTAGCAGAGCAAACCAAGGCACAGAAAAGTTACTCATCCATTTAGTGTCTTATGTCATCAGTCAGCAATTGAGCCTAAACCTGAGGAAGTTCATTGTTAATATTTATATATTGCATAGCATGTTTTACTTACATATTGCCTTGAAATTATTAGTTATTCGGCAAAACATATATCTGATATCAGTTAGTTTTGTGTGTCCAGGTGAGAGAATGATCACACAGGGTGATTTGAATGACTTGACAAGGTCAGTACATTTCTTACTGGTGGCAGGAGGTGGCCGACATTTATCAGGACAGTGAGCATTGCAGAGAGAAATCTCTAAAGCTGTTGAAATGAGTCAAATCAGTTTCAGGCATCTTGTCCTTAGTCTAAGGGAACCTGTGGGGCATGTCCCTCCTTTGCAGCATCCCGTGACTGCCCAGTTTTCTCTTGACTTCAGCAGGGCCATAGGTGTGGGCCACCATCTTCAGAGTAATCAATATCTTGTGTATTTTTACAAGTAATTGCAGAGTAGATGTTTGATCTTTGTGACCTGCACTGTAAGACTTTCTTGGAATCTTTGCAAGGGGTTGGTTGGATCAGAACTTTTCCATCCACATTATGGTCTATAAAAATCATAGTAATTGACTTCATGGAGCTTTTGCTTTTCTTTCATTATTTTCTTCTCTCTTTATTTAGATTTTGGTCATATTCAGGACAGAACAGTCTGGCAGCAAATAACTAGCATTAAAATAACCCAAAGGCAGGCCATAGCTGGCATCATCTTAGAAAGAACAGAAACAGTTTGCTGCTTATGAAACCCCTGGCCAGGTTGACTGGATTTCTGGCTCAGAGTCCAGAGACCTGGAGCTTTCTTTCCCCAGCCTGACTGCTGATTGGCTGAGTGGCCTTGGGTGTTCTCTCCCAACTGACCTCACCTCCACTGCAAAAACAATCAGGGACTAATAACATCTAGTCCTGACTGCTTAGAATGCTAAAAGCAACAAGGAATTGGTTGTCAGAACCTAAGGTATTGTTTGTTTCCCAAATGTGAAGACAGCCTTTAAAGAGCTTAAATTATAATTTCAGGTTATATACATGGGTCCTTTGAGGAAAGAGGTACTCTTTTGTAAATTTTGGGCTTAAATAAGAGAGAGAAATAAGACCTAACTGGTGGGACTTGTCACAAAAAAATGGACTGTACGACATCTTGAGAGAAAAAAAAAAACCCCCTGGCGTTGAGTTGATTCCGACTCATAGCGACCCTGTAGGACAGAGTAGAACTGCGCCATAGGGCTTCCAAGGAGCAGCTGGTGGATTCGCACTGCCGACCTTTTGGTTAGCAGCCGAGCTCTTAACCACAATGTCACCAGGGTTTCCATCTATGAGAAGCTGTATGTTTTTACCATCATTACCCGAATCATGTTGGAAGCAAGTTTGAGACATCAGTTCACTCTAAGAGCAATCTTCCCATCATGAGTTCCCAGGCACCTGTTTTCTTCTGAAGTGACTCACAAAGAAATTGAATTTCTAGGCTCCTTCTAAACTGAATATGGTACTTAACAGCGTGGTGGGTTTGGATGCTCCACAGAGGTAGGGCAATGGAGACAGACATAGACTGCCTGCCAGCTCTGTTCAGTCCTTCCAGCCTGGGTGTGTGATAATAGCTGCAGGGCAGTGAACCTTGTCTGATGTTTCCTCAGAATGAGTGGACTCTTAGGGAAGATTCATGAAGCATGACGCTCTCAGATTTATTTGTTGAGGTGTTCCTTGCCGCTCACGAATGTACACAGAAGCCTGAAGTTATTCACTTCATGTTTTATGTCATCATTCATACTGGCTCTTTCCACAGAGTGAAGGGATCAGTTTTTAAAGATGCTTCAGAAGTGGTATTATAGATGTGAAAGGACAGGAGCAGATAATAACGATTCTCTGTTTACTTGGTGCCTTCTGTGTCTCTGAGCCTGTGCACATCACAGTCACATCTGATCCTCCCAGTGCTCTGAGAGTCAGATGGAGAAAGTGATGGCATGTCCTCAGAGGATGGGAAACGGAAGCATGGGGAGATGAAGTGGCCTGCTCAGTGAACTGCTGCCCACTTCAGACACTGATATTTTAACCAAAAGCAGGTTCACCACCTGGCAGTGTCGACACTCAATACTCAATGCTATGTGGGGTCCACGCCATTTCCTCTCCTGGTTGCTGGTGAAGAGCGATTTAATTACTCGGCTGACATAAACAAAAGCTTGAGACTTCTCCTCTGAGGTTTTCACTTTGTCTGCTTTTCAAACGAGAAAGACCCTGCAAAGCTTTGAGTTTGCAGGCCCTGCAGTAGGTCATTTCTAATGCTCACGTTCATACTAATTTACTCTTACATCACACAGTTAGAGGTGGTGCATCCTAATTAATGAGAAAAGTCCTTATTCTGTCACTGGATTTAATCATGTTAAGCTGAGTTGGAGAAGTTTGGATCTCCATATTCCAGTCCCCAATGCTCGGGTCCCCGCTCTTCTGTGCTCTACCAAGAGAGAGGTGCAGGCTGACCCAGAACGGAACCCTGACCCCGGCGCTGTCCATAGGCTGCTGTGGGCCCGGGGCTGCCTTTGCAAGGTTGGATTTCTAAGGCACTTTAGCCCTAAAGCAGACTTTGCAGTGTGCACACTGTCACTGGTTGATTAAAAAACAAACAGACAGAAGCTCTACATCTTGGTGTTTGTGGATCATATGTCACAGGGCCTGTAGTGGTTTCTGTTCTCCTTGACACCCATCTTACTGTTAATCTGAAAGCTCTTGCCGTTCTAGGTGATGAGCCCATACAAAATACCAATTTCTCCTCTTCTTTCTCATTTTCCTCGTGGCGGGGGAGAAAGATTTAACTGCTTCCTTGCCTTGAGATGTAAATTCCACACTTTGGATTGACTGGATTACAAGTGTTCTGAGAAAAGGCTTAAATTTATTAGGTTAGCTCACAATGTTCTCACAGAGAACTTTACTTTGAAGCATGTTGCCACATGTGGTTGGGTTGTTTTAAGAAAAATAATGTAAGAGAATCAGCAGTACATCATTTACAAAATTTCTCATAGGTGATTTAAAAGCTTGGTCCACAGTGGAAGCCGCAGGGTTAGGCTGAAGGGTGAAGTTAGTGTCCCTACATTTCTGCACTCTGCTAGTGACAGTCCCTCTGAATCCATGCAGAATCAGATGGGTGCCACAGGGTCTAAGAAGCCTCCGGGAGCATGCATTTATTGGGAGCTTTTCTTCCTCATCCTCTCCGAATTTGGCTTCTCAGTAGCACTGAAGAGTGGAATATGGACAGCAAGTTGTGTCACACACAGGCCTTTGCGTGAGATTGAGCCTTGGGCATTTGGGGTGGGGGGCGGGGGTGGTGCTTTGAGTTACTTGGATTTGAATGCTCCTACAGACTGCGCACCAAGATGATGTTTCGGTGTGTTTAACGTACTTTATCTCACAGCCTTCTCTGTCACCTTCAGTAAATGGGAGAGTGTTTTGATTAACCTTTAGAAAACAATAAGTGGGAAGACAGTTTAGGAAGAAAAAGCTATAGAGCCATCAAAGAAAATTTAACAAACAAAGCTTTATTATTTATAAAAAACAAACCAGTTGCCGTCGTGTCAGTTCCGACTCATAGTGACCCCATGTGCGTCAGAGTAGAACTGTGCTCCATAGTGTTTTCAGTGGCTGATTTTTCAGAAGTAGATCTCCAGGCCTTTCTTCCCAAGCACCTCTGGGTAGACTGGAACCTTTCAGTTAGCCACCAGGTGTGTTAAGTGCACTGTCCAGGGACTCTTTATCATTTATGGAGCTCTTCTAAGCCGGCTGAAGAAGCTGTTACTTGACCACTTTGTGAATACTGCATGACAAATTGAATTATGGGTAAGAAAAAGTCAGTGCGAGATTACATGCGTGGCTAATCTGCACTAATGATTCAGGTGGCTGATGGGTAAGCACTGTGTGTGTAATTTGCTGTATCTGAACTACTGTGGCATGCCAGGTTGCTGGATAAAAGCTTTTTCAATGGTTGTCACCCATGTAGTAACTGGTGTTTTGGATATACAGGCGCATATTCATGTTTGTAAAATCATTCCTTTTTTTTTTATAATCAGCTGTCAAAGCTTGAAAAACAGCAGCAGCGGAAAGAAAAGACCAGAGCCAAGGGGCCTTCCGAATCAAGCAAAGAGAGAAACGTACCTCGGAAAGAAGACCGCAGTGCCAGCAGCGGGGCGGAAGGGGACGTGTCGTCGGAGCGGGAGCCGTAGGCGGAAGAAACTGGGAGCTCAGGTGTGAGTCCCCCCCACTCCAGATAATTTCATCTTCTCACATTTTGGGGCAGTGGTAATAAGCAGGGGACAGAATGGCTTCTGAGGCAGAATTCATCCATAGCTGCTGCTGCTGCTGCTTTTTAAAAAAAATTTTATTGTAGTAAAATATATATAACAAAACATTTGCCATTTTAACCATTTTTATGTGTTTGCTTGATTGACATTAATTACATTCACCATGTTGTGCAACCATCACCACTATCTGTTTCCAAAAGTTTAAATCACCCCAAACAGAAACTCAGTACCCCTTAAACAGTAACTCTCGTCTTCCCCTCCCCACGTAGCCCCTGCTAAGCCCACTAAGAAACTTTGTCTCTATACATTTGCCTATTCTGGATATTTCGTATAAATGGGATTATACAATATTAGTCCTTTTGTGACTGACTTATTTCACTTAGCATAATGTCTTCAAGGTTCATCCATGTGGTAGCATGTACCGCGACTTCATTTCTCTTTACGGCTGAATAGTATTCCATTGTATGGATATACGACATTTTGTTTATTCATTCATCGGTTGAAGGCCACTTAGATTATTTTTACCTTTTGGCTGTTGTGAATAATGCTGCAGTGTACATTGGTGTGTGGGTATCTGAGTTCCTGCTTTCAAGTCTCTTGGGTAAATACCTAGGAGTGGAATTGTTGGGTCATATGATCATTCTTTATTTAACTTTTTGAGGAACTGCCACACTGTTCTCCACAGTGGATGCACCATTTTACATTCCCACCAGCAATGCACAAGGATTCCAATTTCTCTACGCCCTCACCGACACTTGGCTATTTACCATTTTTCTGATAATAGCCATCCTAGTGGGTGTGAAGTAGTATCTCATTGTGGTTTTGATTTGCTTTTCTCTATGATTAATGAAAGGAGCCCTGGTGGCACAATAGTTAAGCACTCTGCTGCTAACCAAAAGGTCAGAGGTTGGAACCCATCAGTGGCTCTGTGGGAGAAAAGACCTGGCGATCTGCTCCCATAAAGATTTCAGCCTAGAAAATTCTATGCGGCAGTTCTACTGTGTTCTGTAGGGTCGCTGTGAGTCAGAATCGACTCAGTGGCACCTGACAACAACAACAACATGACTAAGCATTTTTTTCATGTACTTATTTGCCATTTATATTTCTTCTTTGGTGAAATGTCTATTCCAGTCCTTTGGCCTTTGTGTGTGTGTGTGTGTGTGTGTGTGTGTGTGTGTGTGTGTGTGTGTGTGAGGTGAAAGTTTACAGAGCAAATTAGATTCCCATTTGATGGTTTGTACATAAAGTGTTTCATGGCCTTGACATCATTCCCCACAACGTGTCAGCACTCTCCCCATTTCCACCCTGAGTTCCCATTTTCCTTTTTTGGCCATTTTTAAATTGGGTTATTTGTCTTTGTTGTTGATCATTTATAGCTTAAATCTGCTGCTTTCCAGGACGGAGAGAAAAGTTAGCAAATCAGGTCGTGCTTTATTTGAGATGCAGGACTTGGGGGTTACTCACCAGGAGTTGGTTCTGTGTGCTCCACCTCCGGAGCTGCCTGTCAGTGGACAGCTGCTGCTTTAGCATGTGTGTAGTACTGGCAGACACACATCCACACCAAGCATGGTCATCGAGTCTCCTGTCGCTGCTCCCTCCTCCCTGTTCTTGCTCTTCAGCTCCTCTCACAATCTCCTGTCTCACCTGTTACCATCCTTCCTGAATGCTGTGACCCGGTTTGCTTTTCCTAATGTGGTACTTTATTCTTGTCACTTCCATGCCCAGGAATTCACCGTGGTTCACCATAGCCTTAAGACCCCTGTCTGCCTGAAGATCAGAGGCCTCCACAATTTGATCCAGCCCCCCATGGCCCTTTGCTCATGCTCATTCCCCCAGTGAACATGCTGCCAGGAGCCTCTTACCAGCCAGGCACTGAACCAAACACTGGTGACGCAGACGTGGGAAACCAAGGTGCTGTCTCCAAGGAATTCTTAGGCTCAGTGGAGAAGCAAGAATAGTGACGCTACAGCTCGGTGTGCTGGGTGGGCATGTGAATGTGGTGAGGGGTGGATGCAATCAGGAAAGGCTCACCAGAAGGGAGGACTTGAGACTCAGTGGAAGGACAGGTAGAAATGGGAAGATGAAAGGAGAGGTTGGGAAGAGCTGCCCAAGCAGAGAAAGAGCAGGGATACATACTGTTTGGGGTTCAGGAGGAGGGAAGGGCAAGATGTGTTTTGAGACAAAGTAATGAAGAGTTGCTGTACCACTGGGTGTAAGTAGGAGGGGTTCAGGGTTAAGTTAGACAAATAGGGTTCTAGATCATAGTGAGTCTGGTGTGCAATGCTGAGGTGCTTGGATTTCATCCTGGGGTGATGGGGAACCTCTGGAAGGTTTTAAGTATACAAGTGTTGTAATCGAATATAAGCTTTAAAAACATCACCCTAACAGCCTTGGAGAGTGAGACCAGAAGCAGATGGGCCAGTTAGGAGTCAGTTGCAGAGAAGATGACAAGAAATTATAGTGAGAAGAGAGGGAAAGTTTGGCAAGATGTAAATAGAATCATTTAAACTTAGTGACTAATTTGATGTTGAGGAGGAGGCGTCTAGAATGACTTAGGTTCCTGGTGAACACACAGAAGATTGAGGGGGTGGGGGTTGCTGATGATACCTATTTTGGACACATTGTGTGTCAAGCCCCCGTTGACAGCCAAGGATGGCGTCTAGTGGTCTACTGAGTCTATGGGTGTGGGGCTGAGGAGCAAGGTCAGAGTGTAGGTTGGGAGCCATCAGCTCATAGATTGTGGTTAAAACCAAATCAGCATATGGGTTCACCCTGAAGACACCAAGTTGCAAGAGAGGAGACAAAATATATGTGGTTTTCTGCCTTCTTTTTCCTCTCTGAAAGGGAGAGGGGGCTGGCAGTCTATCTGTGAAATGTGCTTTAGGACATACACTACCAGATTTTGAGATACATTGTAAAACCCATAGTAATAAAAACAATGGTACCAGCCCCTAAACAGGCAAACAGACCAAAGGAACAGAATAGATAGCTCAGAAAGGGTGGGTTTTTTTAGTGGGGAGACTGACTCACTATTCAGAGAAAAATAGAGATCCTTGATTTATGTCAGATGGAATGGTGGACTCCAGATTGGTGGCTTGGTGGGAAGAGTTGTGTTTAAGGGAAGAGTCTTTTCCATTGTATATGATTTTCTCCCTAACCAGACTGCTGGCTCACTGACATCATGGCCTATCTATTCTTTTTAGCCCCAGAGGGCTTTGCCAGAGTAAGTAACCAAGAAATGTTTGTTGACTCATTGATAGTTTTAAGGAGAAGTTGGATGATAAATCCTGTTGTCCTATTGACTTTTCCTCTTATAACTATGTTTTCTTCCAAGTATAATTATGAGGAGGTGATGGAGCCATGGTACTGACCTTGGCTTGTGTATCTTATGCACACACAGGAAAGCAAAGAGTGGATCAAAGGGATTTACTTCATATTGTGCCTCCTCCATCACCATCACGATGCTTATGGCCTAAAGCTGCTGGTTTTTCTTCAGGAAATGAAAAAGTTGGTGTGAGTTAGGGAGAGCCTTCTGAGATATAATTTTGAAGTCTGAAATATGTTAAATACTCGTGAGTACACAATAACATTTTATGTAATGTTTATGTAACAATAAAACTTCTGTTTCCCCCTTCCAAAAAAAAGCAACTTGGTGATGATTTACTCATGTCCATGGTTATTTTTGTCATCACAATTACTGCTGATATTTCCTAACTATAATCTGTCCAGATTTTTAAATCTGTAGAGTTGAACTGTGCCACAGTTTACGGTACTCTAAGGGGCTCCTTCTACCACATGTCTGTCAGTTTCTCGTACTGTGCTGGCTTGCTTGTTGCTGTAATACTGGAAGCTTTGCCACCAGTATTTCAAATACCAGCAGGGTCACCCTTGGTAGACAGGTTTCAGTGGATCTTCCAGACTAAGACAGACTAGAGGGACTTCCAGCAACATGGTGCTCTAGGCAGAAGCACCACGCTGTCCCTCCATAGCAAAGATCTGAAGAACTAAGCCAAACAGAGAAAACAGCAATCCTAAAATCCTAAAACATCAAATGAAGAGGTAAAGAACTCAGCCAAGCACCAAATGGAGTGAGAAAACTGACAGAGAATGGAGAGCGAGGAGAGGTTCATGCAGAGGTCCCCTATCAGCTAATGCAGCGTGGGTCCGCCATCTTGGACTCCTATCAGAGACCAGCAAATAGGGGGTACAAGAAAGCAGCTTCACAGAGCTTCCAGCAGGAGACAGAACAACTGGTAATTTGTGACATATGCTTTCCCACCTCCCACCCTTCTTCACCCCCACTTGGCCTCCTCTGCTTCCCATGGCCACAGTCTCTTGGCCGGGAAGCACTGGCTGCTTGGATTCCACCGGCCCGCACTGGCCGACTCCCTGAGTGCCATTTGTTGGCTGCTGGTGTTGCTTTTTTCCGCTTTTTTTGATTTCTTCCTTCTCACCACCTGCCCCTCCTTTCACTCAAATACCTGGCTCCGTGCGCCATCTTTGCTTCTTTCTAAGGTGTTGCGGAGCTCCGTTCGAGTGTGGAAGTGTTTCCTAGTCTGGACTGCCACCCTGCTGGGATCCTGGGGCTTTTGTTTGTTTTGAATTGTTTGTTTGTTTTCTTTTCCTTTTCTCGAGTTGGGAGCCTGTTCTGGCCAGGCGGTGCTGTGTGGCTTGGGACATATCCCTCAGCTTGCGCAGATGCACAGAGGGATCCCTGATAGCATTTCTTTTTTCGTGGGTTTTTTTTTTCTGTTTTTGGGGGGCTTTTCTTGTTCTTTTTTTTTTTCTAAATTTGTTTTGTTTTCTTTTCCGTCTTTCTTCATTACTCAGTTTCTCGTCTCTCTATACCTTCCTTCTCTT